TTTTTTTTTTTTTTTTTGCAGTCAAAGAAACGCCGTTCATTTTTGTCTTTTCAAAGGTTGACCATCTATTACTTGAAAAAAGATTTTCTTCAGAGAAATGAACAAAATTTTCAAAATACGTCCACCATATTGAAAACCTCTCGCCACAGGTAGCCCACTTAATCAAAATATCGAAAGCCGCGTGTAGTGCGCGAGGGATGCGTACGAGTGTACGCACACATTACTTCAACACCCGAACATTAATTAACTATTCGGTATTCATAAGCCATTATCAGACAAACTAGAAACTAGAACTAAACCACTCTGATTGAAAGTACATTTCCAAGAATGCCTATAAATGTTTTATAAATGGCGATCAAATTGAGACTAGCAATATAAAACCGCAACGGCTCTGTCTTGTTATCCGTCAGACTGTCGCTAAAATTCCTATCTTTTTATCTTAAAAACCCATCTTAAAAACCGATTAATGTTTTAGCCAAATACTTGGCTTCCTTTTTCCATTCGTTATCTAGATTAAATTTGTTAAACGAGGAGGCTGTTTATGCCACATTCATTATTCATGTCTGATTCATGCTCTTTATGTCATTTATGCTTTTTATTTTTATTTTTCATTTCATATTGACCAAAAACGTATCTTATTTTCACATGGTATTGATAAAGTCTCATTCACAAGAGACAAGACAATATTTGATATGTACTTTATTTCTAGTTATTTCTTTTTCGATTGATTTCCTTTGGGGGTGGGGGTGGGGAAAGTAGTCAATCTCCTTTGCGACCAAAATCATTTGCCACTGGGAACCGTATTTTTCTCATGATGTTTTAGGCCAGTTACGAATCGCAAAGCCGTTTCAGGAACATGAGGGAAAATGATAACATAGATAACAAAATTGAGAAAAGTTTTGATCGAAAAAAAATCAAAAGTTTTCTGAAATTCAGCTCATATGATATTTTTGTCAATCTAACAGAATAAAAGAGTCAACAATCACGTTTTCCAAGCGCACCTGCTATCTTACTTTTGGCGGGTGAAGAGGGAGGATCCGGGGGGGTCAGGAACCTCTTTTCTTCGTTTATTTTCATGTCAATTTACAATGTGCATCCCTCCTGGACAACATTCAGGATCCGCCCTTGTTTTTCTCAGTTTATGAAATAATTCTCATATGAATGGATATTTCTGGTAATGACAAAGGAAGGAAAAGCATCGCCCACACATAAAAGTTATTATTTGACGATGTAAAGAGCTTTGATGGTAGTCAGGAAGTACCCAGTTGGTCTTAGAATCAGAAAATGAAGTTGTTAAACCGCTCAGACGCATAACAATCAGTAGAAGAATTATTTTTTTAAATGAAATTCTTGGTGAAGTAGAAAATTAGCCACCCAACGAAGTGAAACGTGCGATAGTTCACCATGAGGCGCCGTCCACACTATGCCGGATAAATTTGAATCCGCAACTTTCACACCGAAACCGAAAAAAAAATTTCCGTCCACACATGAAAACGGATGAAATGTTTCGCGTCCACACTAGTCCGATCAGAGGCGGCAAAAACGCTTCGTTGCACATCTGAGCATGTGCATCGAAGTTGAAATTGAGCCCGCGGTAAATTTTTAGCCTTCCCGCCATGTTCCCATGACAATCATGTCATCGTATTCGAAAATTTTGGATAAGAAATGTTCTCCGTCCACACTAATACGGCTAGCCGGCGTTTTTCAAAAGTGTTCCACTCTGGAAACTGTATTCGAAAAAATTCGTTTTCGRTGAAGAATTGTTCCGGATTCGCCCGGACTAGTGTGGACGGTAGGCCTAACCGAATAAATAAAAATTCGGATACAAATTTATCCGGCATAGTGTGGACGGGGCCTGACTTGAGTTGGGCATGTTTCTGATCTCATTGGTCTCAAACTGCCGTCGGTCGAGGAGCACTGGGTACAAGAGTTTTACCGCTGATTGATTGAGCATGTGCAGTAAATATATTAATTTGGGGAAACAGTTGTAGTAAGAAATCAATAACAAGAAAAAATTTGTTTTACATAATTTACATGCAAGCAATCATGAAAAAAAGATTTCTTCTCGTTTTTACTTTAATGTGGAGTAATAGTTTTATCAGAACTTTAAAATGAAGTCTAATACCCCATTCACACCAAGGCTTAAACATGTTTTAGAGTGGTTTAACTAAACAGGCTTGGAAAACTATCTACGAACACTGCACAATATTTGGTAAAATAATGCATGTAAACTATCCTTTGTCTTGCCCTGACAATATTTTAGAAACTTTCATTATATTGTAGGTTTCTAGTTTCTCATTTTTTTTCCTAATGAAAACATAGTTTAACTAAACGCGTTTAGGTGTGAATGGGGTATAAGATTCGAATTTCTTTGCCGCTATCAAAGTATTTGTGTTATTAAAGTTGTACAATAATCAATTTATCCATGGGATTTATGAGTGTTTTTAAACCAAGATAAAAACGGTATATGTGTTTGGCAATAGATAACGTCATTCCCTAGAGTGTCATTTCTTTGTTTAACGGTTGCATTTGAGAAGACACATGAATATGGATWCAACTCAAATAAACAATCTTATTTTCAAGGGAATGACACGTGGTTTGAAATGGGAAAACATTACGCCTAAGGTAAAGCGGTTTGTCAATGGCGAGAAACACAGCGGTATATTTTCCAACTAGTTCAAAAGTAGTCTAAATAGGCGCAACACGAACAAGTCGCTCAGTGGAATTTCACAGCAGGATTCTAATTACATTTTTGCTTGTCATTGATAAGATGGAAAGATAAAACGCCAACGTAACCAATGTTAGATATATTGATTCGTGCTTACAATCGTAATAAAGTAATAACGAGAAAGAAATTTGCTTATCATATTGAATATGAACAATAACCATTGTAATTGTGAGTTCGTAAGTTATTTCAGTTCGTTGTAAGCTGTTGTCGTTTTTTGGTTGCATACAGCGAGAGTTTTGAGACAATTAAAGCCGTGGATTAATGTTTGATTTCCCAAATCTTTTTGCAAATTATATTCACTATCTGCTCGAAATAACACCTTTTGGGAAGTGTGTTTTTTTTTTGTGAGTTTGTTTTGTTTTGTTTTGTTTTGTTTTGTTTTTGTTTTTGTTTTTGTTTTTTGTTTTTGTTTTTTTGTTTTTTGTTTTTGTTTTTTGTTTTGTAAAGAAAGTCAGGAAGGGATTCGTTTTTGCCGTCTAGTGAAGAATAGTGAAAATGCAAACTTCCAGGGTCTCTGGTGGAGATGATGATGATAGGTGGTTGTAAATGTGATGTTATTGAAGGTAATGCCGGGATTGTGGTTGTAAATATGGTGGAGATCATGATAATGATGATAATGGAGGTAGTGATGATGGTGGTGGTGGTAGCGAAGGTGATGATGGTGGTGATAATGATGATAATGGTGGCAGTGATGATGGTGGTGGTGGTAGCGAATGTGATGATGGTGGTGATTATGATGATAATGGAGGTAGTGATGATGGTGGTGGT